TTTTTTCCCAGCCAGTCAGGGAAATTGAGATCAAATTGATGTCAGTTAGCACTGAGTTCTAGCAAGTTCAACACTTCCAAATAGTGAATCATCACTGATTGGCTATTCACATCACTTAGCAGCTTAAGTGCTTTTTTAATTCGTAGCCTGAATTTATTAAATTATGGGTTATATATCAACTGTGGGGTGTGGGATATACTTACCTCCACGCGGTACACCCTGGGCAACGTATAACCATACGGCAAAAGTCATATTCGACCCCTATCACAGTACTCATCTTACCCTTTCTGAGCCATTGTGTCTGTCTGTTTCTTTTACATCTGTGAATCACTCTTCTATTCTCCCTCCCGAAGTCAACTAAAGGGCTAATGATAACTATCCAAACGCCTGCCACTTATTATATATATATATATATATATATATATATATCAACTGTATTTGCTGTTATAATCTGTAGGACTAACTATAGCAACTTGACATTTTTCCATAAAGCTTCAAATAACGAAAACGAAGCTATAGGCCAATCATGATAGTTGAAAAAATAGGGTATTTTTAATGAAGCCTGAAGAACTGAATTTCTTGGTCACCTTTCTACAATCAAAACCTTTAAAAGCTGTTTTGCAATTATTTGGGCCATAATAATTACAATTTTTTCAATCTGACATTCCTTCTTCCACTTCGTAATAATTCTCACAGAGTACTAAACTAGCTACCAGTAGGGAGAAGTCGAAAAATTTTTCTCTGCATTGGCTGAACTTCCTTCCAAACGAACCGTTTTTTCACAATGCTTCATAGACATAGATAATAAATGAAGGAGATAAAAATGCCATAGTGGATTCCCGTTTTAACTCAAACTAATATACTTGATTAACCAATTTTTAATATTTAAAATGCGACGTGCTAGAGAGGTCGCAAGTGCCTTTTAGTTTAATGTCGTGAACGAAAATACAAAAATACTTTCATCTTAAACATATTCTTGCCCTATTAAACTACCCTTTGATTAATGCGCCCACAGTAAGCAACATCTAACCAATGCCAAATTAAGCTCAGTTGTTACCACCACAGTTAAAAAGGGCTTAGCCAGAGTATTCACTCATCCAACACCGGTTGACTCACGTCCGCCTGAGTCAGTGAAGTTACACATCTAGCCAGCCACTTTGAGTCCGCTTCCTTCCACGCATGCACACATCATCACTTTCTCCTCTTGTCACCCCCCCCCCCCCCACCACCGCACCACCACGGCCTTAATTTGTACTCACTATTTACCTGCGGCCGACAGACACATATAGCTTTAGAGTGGGGGGGTCTTATCTCTCCCCTTGATCTGGTAAGCTTAGTCTCAGTCATGCTGTTTTCACTTCTCCACCCTTCCCTACTGTCGTGCAACCAACATCATGGCGTTGTCGGGCCTGCTGCTGAATTGCTCGTGCCATGCGATAATAAATGAATTTTACAGTCTGGAATTTCCTTGGCTAAATTAGAAGCATATTCTGCCCCAAAAATGGAACAAATTTCATCGCACTTGTGATTATCCAGAGAAGAGTTGCATTTCTATTAAAAAAGGCTAACATTTCTGCCAATCTGAAGTTAGATACTATTTAGCTATATTCTAAATAAATGGTTATGCCAGATAAGCAGGTGAAATAGAAATCTGTCGAAAAAAATAGACTCCGGGATAACAAAGTCTAGCACTTCGTAAAATTGGCGCTTTATTTGCAAACTTAGCAGTGACCAATCAATTAATAAAATGATAGGTTTGATGCAGCCACCGAGTCCTTTAAGGTTGGTCAGTTGTGGGTCTTTGCAACTGATTGAACTCTTGACGAATTCGATAGTGAAATGCAAATGTGCTCTAGCTCCCGCCCTTGAAAAGCAGAACCTACTTTAGCTTTCAAAGTCAAGTATTGAGCTTAGATAATGTCCTTAACCATTTGAAAAAATCGAAGAAGCACCTATCACGACCGATTTATTGCAATCCAAAGTAAACCTCTTTCTAATTAAACCACTGTGCTAATTGTAAATTAATGTTTTTTACAAGAAATCATCTTACTCTTCTACTATTTTGCAATTAATCTCTTCATCATTCACTTACTACTACATTTGAATATCAAGCAAATATTGCGGTTCTTATCTGCAAAATGTATGAAACTACACTAATATTAAACAAATACAAATCGGCCTAATTCGATGCAGGTATGGGGGGGGGGATAAATAGCGCGGATTGCCAGAAAAACTTACCTCCACGTGGTGCAACCTGGTCACCGTAAAATCAAACGACAAAAAATTCTATGAAGCGCCAGTCGACTTCAAACTACCACTACCCCACTGTATGTCATATTCGACCACTTCCGCAGTGCTCACCTTTCCTTTTCCTCTAACTTTGTATCTGCCTCTTTTACATCTGTGAAACACTCCTATGTTCCCCCCCCCCCCTCTGTAAAGCCCGAAGGCAACTTAAGGTCTAATAATAACTATCATAAAGCCAGCATTTGATAAAAGTAAATACAAATACACCACTAGGGGACGAGGCAGTAAGTTCGGAACGCATAAATAGGCACAAAAACCCTTACCAACCTTCCTCCTTCTATGATACTGAGATCGGAATATCCGACCTTGGCATCGGTGCAAATAACATAAGGATGAAAATCAGGGTCGAGTGGATTTAATTGCCACGAAACAGCCTTCAGAGACAAGCTTTAATCAACGTCTTAAGTAAAAGACGGACAAATCAATGTAAACGCATAAATTTATAACCCGGTATCGTCTTGTCCAATCCGTGTCTGAGATGTGAGCATTTATTGGTATTTCATTGTTTAATGGGCCCAATAAGATCAGTTTTCCTTGTGAAGTGTTAGGTTCAACTAATATCCAGAGTGAACTAACTTTATCAGATTAAATTTTAATTTTTATAACTAACTTACTTGTGGTTGGGAAATTCAAGATATTGGGAGAAAGATTGAAAATTAAGTCAATATAGGAATTGAATGATTTTGCATGTTCATGAATATGTAAATTTATTATCAAATTTGATTTTTGTAAAGCACTTAATGGAACTTCATCGTCAAATCAGTGGGAAGAACTCCAAGAACTGCCTTACGAAACACAAAGCTATAGATTCTTAAGTGAATTTCCCAAACAATTTAAGCAACTGCTAGTGCACAAGTCAAGTTTTACTGATCAGCAATGAGCTCATTGAAAATTTGAAATGACATGTAGTAACCCAACTAATGGGCAAGCAATCAAAGGTTTGAAATGGGTGTGTTTATAGCAAATATCCTATTGCTTAACAGTCAACTAGACAAGGGAAATTCTGCTGAAAAGTTCGCTCTCACCAACATTATCTGTGTGTCACACATTTGAATAACGCCCACTACGATCAGTTTGATCTCCCTCCTCTTCCAATTACAAGTTATGTTTAGTCCCTTTCCAATAACTTTATGAGAAATTGCATTACTTTACTCGAATTAAACATTCAGACTATATTTCTTATTGGCAAGTGGAAAATCTATCGATCCCATTATTGACATTCGGACTCCCCTTTCTTGGCCCTTTCTAGGTTCCATGAGCAACTGCTATTTCCCTTATTCAATGCTACCGCGCGATTAAAACCAGTAGACATATTATATATGAAATGATGATCCGCAATGTGCGATATATTTATCAGAATATTCAATCCATTGCACGAATACTATCTTCAGTCTTCCAATTTAAGTACACCTTGTAGACTGTGTACTACTATCTTACTTAACTTCCCATTTTGTCTTCAAGGAACAGAACAAAGACGATGATAAAATACCTGAAGATTGGTTTACACATTCAATTTCAAGCATCCAACATATAATGAGAAAAGCATTTACTGGATGAGTCACAATGCACCATTCATCTCTCCATTGAAGTTTCAGCTAGTAAATCGAGATGGCTCCCTCTTAATTAACCCTTATTCGCAAAGAGGGCACTGAAAAGCATGAGTGTTCCAAGTTATGCGGATCCAAATATCTTCACTTTCGTTTCGTAATAAGAAACTACTTTAAACTACTCAGTTAACAGAGGCTGAAGAACCACACAGTCGCTCATCTTATTTAGGACTGTACTCCATCCTTCAGTTTAAATTCCGTCTTTATAGTAAGACCATTTTATTGAAGCAAACAGGACTGTTAACATTATGCAAACAAAATATCAAACACATATCAATCAAATAGATGTGTCCAGAGCCCAGCTTCTAACTTTGACACCTAGGGGCTGGCAGCTAACCGATTCTGAAATGAATCTATAGCAAGCCCGTTGGCTCCTGGCTTGTATTTGAGTGCTGCAAAAATTATTTAGCAGCAGGAAACGCCAAATGCAAGCAACAACAGAAGTATCTCTCCACTTCGTAATTGACGAAATTTGACATTTCGGATTTCTTACTTCTAATATCAAATTACCTATTTCAATTACATCGGGATTAGACAACTGAACATGCTAAAAAGGCGAGTCCTGAATACCTCAGTAAATAAATTATTTGAAAACAATTGTCAGCCATACTAGATAGGACATTCGCAAATACTCGTAAAAAAATTATCCCAAACACAAGCAATGAAAGCCTCTGAGGAAGTATTAATCAAAATAAAACCACCACTCAATTCGATTGCTTAACTATTACGAGTGCTGAACAAGTAATTGAAATAGCAGAATTGCATTTACGAGTTCACGGTGAGAAATAACTTTCTGTATCCAGACAACATCGACTCTGCCCATTTGAGCCAATTAAGCCATAATTGAAAATCACAGAAAGAGCAAAGAAAGAGCTTACATTAGGTACAGTAATTAGGAAACTTGTTAAAAAGACAGATAGGCAGGAATGGAATTCTAGTAAGGGAGAGAAAGAAAGTGGGTCTAAAGAAAAAGATATAAGAACAGATGGCGCTTGTCATCAGGATTGAGTCGGCAGGAGTATCATTAAATGCATTTACACTAACTCACATAGAAAATCAGGAGATTAAAAGACCGATTAGTATTAATCAAGAAACAGAAGATATAGGATTTCTTGGGGTACCCATTTGGGTCAGGACGCGATCAAGCCATTGAAGGGGGCCATTTAGGTGAATTTCCACCCAACAGGGGGTCGATGTGACATCCTGCCTATGGTATTCAGCACCCCAACCTTTAACGAAACTCATTCGAATTGTACACATCTTTGTGAGTTCATAGACAGCCTCAAATCCATGGCTCACTGTACGTCGAAGAAGTTGTGCAAACTCCTGATTTGAGAATATTTTGAGTGAACAACCTGGCGGGATCTTGCAGACTGTAGTTAGGTTGAAATTATGCCGATGATTGCAATTTCGCGATTGGACAAAGATACTACTGTCGGAGAGACATTCTGCAAATACTTCCCCTCCAACATAATATAGATGAACACCTAGAAGTTAAATGTAAATAAAATGAATTAATCGTATTAGTGATAAAATGACCCTAATTGGCTAGCGACACAAATGCACCACGACCAGAAATAACTCTGAAACACTGATTAACCACACAGATTCTTGGGAGATGATTGCGTGCAGGTGTGTCAATGAAAGAGCGTGAGATTTTCAGTGTGTGCAAAACGGTTTACACAAACACTGGTTGACCAAGTGCACATTGTGGACGAGATTCGATACAACCCCATGTGATTGAACTAAGAGCACCGTAGCAACACACTGCGCGACTGCTAAAAGTTCACCAAGCAGCGATAATCGAATAAAAACAGGAATTGCTAAAAAATAATCCATTGAAACCTGATTAATAATTATCATATAGCACAAAGGGAAAGTACATTCCACTAACGGTTTTTAACATAGAGGCAATAAATTGAGTTAATATATATATATATATATATATATATATATAAGGTTATTAAAGAGATTCAACAGTCAAATAAGCTTTCACTGAACTATCAGTGTCCCCAATTATGAATTCATAATATCGCCATAAAAAGTGAGACAAACTAGATATCAATAGAGGGTTACCCTTCCCAATGTGTCTTCGTGTGTTCTCAATAGTTGAATTCCTATTGACATTTGATAGAAGCCCAAGACAGAAGCGATCGGAATTATTCGAAGGATCTGTGAAACCGTCAATTACAATACTTGGCTGTGATGCAAAAAACGCTTCCCCAACACGAGTATTCAACTCGTAGTAGACGATAGAACACCAATACTTTGGCTCCTGATAGTTAACCGGATGGGCATCTAAATAAATGAAAAGATAACCAATTCAAACTTATAGTAAATATATCAAAATTTATAAACTTATTCTGTGATATACCTTGAGGGGGAGGAAGGGACGTTGACGGAGATGCTCCACAGCTAATTGGAGTAGTAGGAGCAAGTGGGGAAGTCTGTGTAAAGCCTTGAGGATAAGTGACGTTATAAGGCATAGATGGTTCTGTTGATACTGAGGCGCCATAAGGCGTACCCATCAGCATAGGAGTCTGTGGTGGAGGCATAACACCAGCACCAATCGATTCCGTTGAAGGACCAGGAAGAACAGCTGGTATTGAGGGATATTCACTGTGTCTTGGAACCAAAACTGGTGGTAAAACTAATAAAGCAAATAAGATTGATAATGCAATGTTAATATAGAGAGGCAGATAAAAAGATATAGGCCAAATACCTGGACTCTCAACACGTTTATAGTGATAAGGATTAATGCAGACTTCATTCTCTTTAGCAGAAAAGGGAAAACGACAAATATCTAGGGGTTTGAGCTCATGGTGACTCTGAAGGTCGGGCCAACGCCAGACGCGACAGTATATTACATGTGGGAGACCTTTTCGGTGCGAAACCTGTAGTCTGCCATCGAGAGATCTAGGAATTGTTACGCACTCACTGGGTTCGCCGGGATTACTAAGAGCCCTTTCAAGCGCTTCCAGTGCGCCTTTTTTCTTTTTCAACTTTTTGACTAGAGAATCCACCGCTTTTTCAGCCCATTTTTCCTCCTCGTCTCCTTGCTTCCAACCAAGAAGCCTTTTCACAGCAGGAGAAGTAAAAGAAAAGAGGCTATTTAAGCTGGAAATTGATGTCGACATAAAAATAACCTATGCGATAATAAATTAACAATATCCAAAAGCGGGGATTGTTCGTAGTAGGCTTAAACAATTAATTAGGTCTAAATGTATTTTTTCCACCTCTTTTATAATGTTACTTTTAAAATTTTTATTTGATACTTGATTATAATTACAGTGAAAAAATGTATATACTTTTAGTTATATGAACTAGTAAATATATTCGGATTAATATCCATAAAATTTAACGCTTAAAAATGCGATCAACAAATAAAATACAAAAATTATGATAATTTCAATAATCTTGAAAAACATTTTATGAGCAACTTGGGTGATTTTGTTTAATAAGGTGACTTAGTCAAATTTCCAATATTTTTTATGTTAAAATGAAATATTTAAATTTTGTTGAATTTGTAAGATTTTACCTGCATGTCCACAACTCTCTTATTCGGTAAACTTATTTGTGACACGAATTGGTTATCAGTCATTTAAAATTAGAGCCCGAGGAGTCGGAGGGGTTTTATTACTTCACCCACCTCCTTCCCAGAAAATTTTGTTAAATATATTAGATATTTGTAAAACTTTTTGTGAAATGAAGTGCTACTAATGTTACCTATTGGTAAACATTCATTACCATAAAGATTCTTGCTGAGGGATCACATATAATAGATGCAGTCAAGAAGCTTCCGATTCTCCTATCGTCTGTTCCGGGTTGGCATGTGTCTCAAAACACCTTGTAAGAAACACCTTACCGAGATGGGAATAATCATCTAGACTCATATGTCGGAAATATCAAAATCAGTTATTCGATTAGGATTAACTGAACCTGCAAAAAAGTCTGTGGAGCACGTCATCGTATGCACGTACATTAGACTTAAGGTGCGGTCGTGCAATCTCGCACACTGATTGGTTGCGGGGACGAACAGCCAATGGCCAATAGAAAGCCTACGTTTGTTTTACGGATTACGTCATGTTGAATGATTAAGCACTTCCTGTCCCACTCAGCACGTACCATTATCTAGAGAATAAACGTGTTCTGGTAATACGTCTGTTTCTTCTGAAAGACTTACTAAATAGAAGAATCTATCCCAGAGGTTTCCTAGATTTAATCAAGGCTTTGCTAAGGTAGAAATCCACTACAGATTGGGATCCTGACGTGATACAAGCCTGACTGCTTCCACTCAGCATTAGTACTACCTCTCCTTGGTGTCGCGAATTTATTCGATCACTCGATCTTACTTGAAGAATCAGCCTTTATACAACACTCCCGTCGATCTTTCTTATTTACTTCATAATGTCTGAAGAAACTACCTCGACTCTTCCTTTGGGTATCCCAAGGTTCGACCCAGAACATCCAGACTCCTTTTTCGCTCGGTTAGAATCGATATTTCTACTAAGAGGAGTGAAAAACACAGAGACCTGGTTTCTTTATGCCCTTTGCGTCCTACCGGATACAATCTTAGCACAATTCAAAGAGCTAACATCCGCGCCGCCAGATAATAAATCTTACGAACGACTAAAACAGGCGATCATCAGCCGCTTTAGTATGTCTTCAGAGAAACGGTTACAACTTCTTTTCTCTCTAAACGGGCTCGGGGACCGTTCTCCATCCGAATTACTTAGTCATATGCGCTCCTTAGCCTGTGGTTTGGAGATGACGGATCAAGTTCTTAAGATGTTTTGGTTGAAGTGCCTACCTGAAAACTTGGTTACGCCAGTATTGGATAACCCATTCCAGGACGATCTAAATAAGTTATCTGAGATGGCAGATCGGATTCATAATCATCAAGCTGTAAAAACTTCAGCTGCCCCTGATACAGTTACGCAACGACTTGATGACCTCACGGAACAGTTCAAAGAATTGAAGCTACTTATATCAGCCCCCTCTTCACGCCCCAACGGACGGCGCTCTTTTTCACGTAGAAGGCGTCGGAGTCCATCAGTGTACGATGACACAATTTGTTACTATCACCGAACCTATAGGGACAGAGCCAGGAGATGTAGACCTGGATGTTTATACGTGAAGACCAAAGCACTTAGACCTTCGGGAAAATCCCACGTCAGGCAGTAAAGGCGACTACTGAGCCTGGCCATTTCCACAGTCGCCTCTTATATGTGTCATACAGGAATTCTAAACTCTGATGTCAGTGTTATTCCTCGGTCCGCAGAAAAACGCTGCCTGCAAGCAACTGGAAATTCCCTTCTAGCGGATAACAACACAAGGACCCGCACCTACGGCCAGTTGCTCCTCAACGTCGATTTAGGACTTCATAGACAGCGCCTTACATGATGGCGTCACCTCCCTAAAAGTTGTCTGCCCTACACGGAGCCCAAACACTGTTGGCTTAAATAGTATTCTACCTCCCTCCAATACATTTTTCGAATATTCTATCTGAATTTCCTGCGGTTCTCCGTACGCAGACCGAGATTGCGGAGCCCCAACAATAAGTACATCATCACGTCGTTACTAACGGACAACCTGTTTTCGCCAGAGCCCGACGCCTCCACCCCGACAAGCTACGTGCGGCCAAACAGGAATTTCAACACATGGTAATGTTAGGCATCGTTCGACCCTCAAACAGTCCTTGGGCTTCTCAATTGCACGTGGTCGCGAAGAAAAACGGTGGCTGAAGACTATGTGGAGATTACCTGGCCTTAAATCGAATCACTGTTCCCGACCAATGCCCCATATCTCATATTCACGACTTTTCGTTGCAACTGCACGGCAGAACCGTTTTCTCCGAACTCGACCTCGTTAGAGCCTACCATCAAAATCCGATGGCCTCAGAAGATATTGTGGAGACAGCTGTAATAACACCGGTTTGACTGAATATTTACCTATGGGTTTCGGCCTACACAATGCGCCCAATCCTTCCAACGATTGATGGACCAAGTTTTTCGCGGGTTGGATTTCGTTTTCGTTTACACTGATGATGTGCTCATCACAAGCTCCAACCCGAAAGAGCACAAACGAGATCTGCGGCGGGTGTTCCGACGCATTCAACAATGTGGAATCACGAATAACCCAGAAAAGCTTAAATTGGGCGGGCGGAAATCGATTTCCTCGGTCATCTCATCAATGGTGGGGGAATCACACCTTTGCCCGAGAAGACACAGTCTATCGTGGACTATCTTGTTCCACAATCAGTGAAAAGTCTACGTCGTTTTCTAGTCGTCGTAAATTATTACGGAAGATTCATTCCGAACTATGCCAAAGTCCTTCAGCCTCTCACAGATTTGCTTAAGGGCAGCCGAAGCATTTCCAGATGACGTCGGATGCTGAATCAACGTCTTCTTTAGTGAAACAGGAGCTCTCAAAGGCAACAACGATGAGTCACCTCGATACCTCTAAAGGGACACGAATCTTATGGAAGACGACGCATCTCAGGTGGCAGTCGGAGCAGTCCTACATCGGATTGCTAAGGGTGAGACACAGCCACTCTTTTTTCTCAAGGAAGCTCACCCCCACTGGGAAGTGGTATAGCGCGTTTGGCAGGGAATTGCTCACTATTTACCTGGCAGTTAACCTTTTTCGTCACATACTAGAGGGACTCCAATTTACGATCTTCAATGATCACAAATCTGCACTCTCCTTCCTCTCTCCTAGTGCCCCCGTAATGCCCTCCTATGAGCAGATGCAGTTCTACAGCAGCCAATTCTTTCCTAATCAACAACGACAACAGCATCAACGTCATCAGAAGGCTCGAGCAGTTTTCTTCCAAGTCATTCTCTTCCGATCCAGTCTTGGATTCGGTTTCTTCATTCGTGGAGGTCACGAGTTCAATCAAATGCCGCTCGCTGTACTACGAGTGGCTGAGGGTGGACCTGCATATCTGGATGGCCGATTAAAGGTTGGTGATGAGCTATTACAAATAAATGGTTTCATGACTGCGGGAATGTCTCACCGTCGAGATTATTCAAACCGGTGGAAATATGATTCGTCTTGGGGTTCGACGTCTCCTTCCTCCACTTTTTAGGGCTAATGATAAATATCACTATTATTATTATTATTTCAAATGGCAGGCGTTTTGAATAGTTATCATTAGCCATTTAGCTGACTTCGGGCTTTTCGCGCCGCTGCAGACCACCATTCTCCCAGGGAAACCCGACATCTCGATTTCATCGTGCAATTCACGAGCGATATACGATATATCTACGGCACTAGCAATGTTGTTGCCGATGCAATGTCGCGTACGGAATTGAACCCTATCGTCGTACCCTCGCTGGATCTGCAAATCCTGGGGTCCGAGCAAAAGTCAGTCCCCGATTTCATGGAAATCGTTTCTAACCCTTCGTTGCGTTTTGAATGTTTGCCGTTACCAGACTCTGATACCCTGATCCATTGAGTCGCTTCGACCGGCAAGCCGAGACCTTTCGTCCCGCAAGCATATCACCGGAAGATCTTCTAGCATTTTCATGTTTTGTCGCATCCGAGCATTCGTTCCACAACAAAGTCGATCACTGACCGGTTCGTTTGGAAGAACATCCGACAGGACGTGGCCAAAGATTGCATCGCCTGTCAAGCCAGCAAGGTCTATAAACATACACGAAGTCCACTCAACAGTTTCCTCCTTCCAGAGTTTCGTTTTCGACATATTCACGTTGATATTGTCGGTCCACTACCTCCTTCAAATTCTTTCTCTTACACCCTAACGTGCATTGACCGTTTCACGCGTTGGCCTGATCGCTGTTCCTTTAATTGAAACCTTCTTCGTCGGTGGCAAAAGCCCCGATGGAATCATGGATATCCATATTTGGTGTTCCATCTGTGATCACCACAGAGGTTCGCAATTCACTTCTAACCGTATTCCAAGATCACACCATACATCTAGTTATAGTCCAAGTCATGCGCTCCAAACAGCGTATGCTCGGCCCTGGCCATGTCATCATCGAAGCAGGACTGCGTTAGCGTTATGAACGTGGGCGCCGCTCCTTGTGCAATCACGCCTGCGTTTCCCGTTTGTATGCTCCTCCCTCTCGTCATTACTCGTGATAGATAAGGGAGTACCACCGTCTCTACCGCTTGTCTTATACCCCACACAATGGGGCGTTCTGATTGACCAATGAATTTAGTGTAATGAACCGAGAAGGAAGAAACACACGCGCGCGCGGTTGGATATACATAGTCTGTTACCATTGCTCCTCTACAGACTTGTTGGACTAAAGTTTTAACTTTTGGTAACAGCGCCAACACAACCTGTCGCACGTCTGAAGTAGTAGAACCAATCATCCGATATGTATAGGCTTCAATAAATGGGAATTAAACCAATTTTCAATTTCCAAAAACAGGCTCCCGTAGACCCATTATCTTATTCCGCCCGCTTAAAAGAACATTTCAGAGCCGTCAGTCCAACACCCTCCCGTTTGAATACCACGCCCATAAAGATTTATCTACATGCCCCTTCGTTTTCGTTCGAGTTGATTCAGTAAAAAGTCCCCTACAACCACCATACGAAGGACCTTACAAAGCCCTCAAACGCAAGCCAAAATATTTCTTTCTTGACCGCAACGCCATCAAGGACTCAGTCAGTATTGACCGTTTAAAACCGGCGTACCTAGTGTCTCCTATACCGAAGCCCGCAGTTAGAAATTACCTGTCCGGTCCTACAACCCCAACAGCCAAAGACCCTATACCACCCTCTCCACCTCACCACTACAATCCCTACCCGAAGATACTTCGGTCTCATTAGTTCCCCCTCCTGTCCCTCTTCAACCTGAACCCTATTACGCTCGCTACGGCCGAAAATTACCTCCCCCTCCCGGCTGGCCGACTATGTACATTCATTAAATCGGGTGTTTTCTTTCTCCTTTTAGGTTTCTACGAACGCTCTAGATGGGGGGGGGGATTATTGTAGGGCACAGTTAATGGCCAATGGAAAGCTTGGGTTTGTTTTACGGATTACGTCATGCCGAATGGTTAAGCACTTACGGTGCCACACAGCACGTTACTCTTACCTAACGAGTAAACGTGTTCTGGTAATATGTCTGTTTCTTCTGAGAGACTCAGTAAAAAGGAGAATCTATCACAGAGATTTCTGAGTTCAAGTCAAAGTTTACTAAGTCAGATTATCCCTTACAAGTCTGCTTTTTATTCATATGCATAGCGTGTAACTAAAATAAATACCTATTTAGGAAGGAATATGTTAAAGTTAGAAACAATGTGTTCTACTCTTGTTAGCTTTGAATGTCTTGCATTAATAGTCTTTCAGGATATTGATTTGTGTGATCAAGCGTGTATTAATAACAGTTGTTCAACATAATAATAGCTTAAAAACACAACATTATTAACGGGTTTTAATATAAAATAATTTATTAAATAAGTTTAATTATAGATAATTTTTATTTGTATGCACTAAAATAAAGAATTTATGACCTTTAAATTTTTTCTCCCCTGTGATTGGTTAATGGGAATCAATCATCTGTCTCTTTTTGTACATTCAGGTTGATTTTTTTTCTGGTTAGGGTGCTATGCAACCCCTTTATACGAGCGGGATGGCTTTAGCTCTTATTCCAATTGAATGGGGATATATCGCGATTTTAGGATTAACTCTTGCATTTGGTACCATGTATTTGCCAACGAAGAAATATGACATTGGTAATGGTGAGTATTTGTTTATTATGTTCAAAATAGTTATGCATATTTTCTTGCTCATTGAGAATCAGACTCTTCATACCATTTTTACTCTAGGTATGATTTTCCAATGGTTGATGAGCACATCGCTTGGGTTTTGTCTTTTCGCTATTCATGTTTGTTTCGGTTCACAACGAATTTGGAGTCTTACTTTATTGAGTGGCATACTTTGGTCAACAGGTGATTTGTTTGCTCGCGTTTTAAAATTGCAAATGCTTTGTTTCACTTTGCTTTCCTTTTTTGGCCTCTTTTGTTTTATTTAATTTACATTCGCGTTTGTGCAATCGTGACAATTATTTTCTTGTTCTATTTCACTATTATTTTATGATTGGTCTCTAAACTCTTATTTTACCTTACTAATAATGTAGGATTGGTATCTGACTATACTGTTTCTATTGATTTTTGTTTCCTTCAGAAAGTTATTCCGTCAAAAGACGCGAAATTTGTTAGAAGTATTGAAATTGCTGCTGTTTTTCACTTTACTTTGCATTTCAATTATATCGTCAACAACCCTCGAATATTGTTAAATGGGCGTATCTTGCAATTATCGAAATTCGCTTTCTGCTAGTCATAAATTAATCGATGTAGTTGGTTGCCTATACCATTAGAACCGCCTGTAAACGACCACATCCATCAATTACATAGCTGTTTAGTTCTTTTATTTTTAATTGATATTTTGCGCCCCGAATTAATACAAACTAATTTTTTTGATTTTCAGCCAATTTGGCAGTAGTTCCTATCATCCAACGGTTAGGAATGGGAGTCGGGATGCTTATCTGGAGCATGGCCAACTTGTTAATGGGTTGGGCTAGTAGTCGGTACATTTTAACTTTATCATTATTCTCTTTTTCTGTTATTTAAACCTCATCAACTTTTCCATATTACAGTTTTGGTTGGTTTGGAATTAAACCAGAAGAGCCAAAGAACAGTACACTGAATATTATCGGGGTCGTCTTTGCCTCTCTTAGGTTGATCTCTCCCATACTTCTAAACTAATCCATCTCTTTAATCTAGTGTTGTTGTCTATGCATTCATCACCCCATTTTCAACTCGACAGGGGCCACAAAATACGAGTCCTATTAACTCCGATGACATTGTAGTGTCTCCCGAGAGTGAAGCAAGTGTCACAGAGTCCACTGGAGATGCTGATCCTCTTTTACAGGTGCAAGTTTCTCCCATTCAAAGATTTTGGAAATCTAAAATTGGACAACGGTTAATGTGCGTTACTATTCTACATGTTGCCTTTTATTTATTTTCGAAATGCCGATACTGAGATAAGCAATCGAGTGAATAAGTAAATTTAACACTTCGCATGAGCATTTGAGTGCGTATTTACTAAGAGTTTCAAACGTTGTCCATTTTTGGGCTCAGCATAAAATTAACTGTATTTGAGTAGGAATTTGTTGTCAATTCCCTTCTCCATATACTTGTTCTACTTTGCTTATTCTGAGCAATGTCATTTGCGCCTATTTCATCGAGTTGTAATCTCGTTACCTTTTTTGTTGTATTAGTAAACTTTCTAAGTCGATAACTGAGTGAGTTATTGGCGTTTAGTTATGGGGTTCGTTTTGAGAATCACCGATCGTCCGCCGATAAGCATTGATCACTTGACCCCTGGGTAACTAATGTATCTGCTTGTGATTAATGTCATTATTGCTGATCTAATTGTTTTATAAAACTCATCGCGGGCAAGAAAACGGTATTCGCTGGCTTTTCTAAAGAAAAAAATAGCTTTCGGTTTTCCTCCGCGTATCATTTAGCCTTCCTATTCATTTTGTGTAACCATTGTGCATAGTTCTCATGATATTTCAATTTGTTGCGTTGAATATTGTGCTACTTTTGATTCATACCTAAGCTTTCATGTCAGGATAAAATGATGTTTACGCAGGAGCCACGATTTGTTGTGACCGGACCGACATCGGACATGATGACCCTCGCAGATGACTTAAATACTCATTTAAATCTAATCCTCCCTTTTGGCAGTAAAGCAAATAAGCTATGCAGACATGAAGGGAGAGAAAAGGTAAGATGTGTTCTGTGGAAGTGGTCGAATATAACATGCATTGGGGTCATGATAGTTTGAAGTCAAAAGTCAACTGTCGGTTAATCGACTTTTTTGCCGTATGAGTATACGTTGCCCAGGATGCACCACGTGGAGGTAAGTCTATCGCACACCCCGTAAAACTAATATAATAATTCATTTTTCATTAAATTAGCATGATTTCTCAAGGTGTTCTAAATTTCAGGATTATTGCCAGTCCTAATTTGTGAACAAAGCCTACCTTTATCATTTTGTGATCATTCTATATAGGGTGAGGATCAAGAGAGGTTGTATTTTTAAAATTGCTAGCAATTTTATACCCTTCCGGTGGGATATTTTGAGATCAGAGCTAAGAACATTTTTAACTGAACTTTGTCAATAATGTAAGCAAATGTAGGTAATTTTTAAGCGGTGTTTTATTGGGGTTGAAACCTGGATCTATAAGTTTGATGCAGAAAGCAAAATTCAATCAAGAGTGGCATCCAAATGGAATATCTGGGCCTGTCAAGTTCAAAGCTGAATGGGCCATTAAGAGGATCATGGCCACTATTTTTGAGATTCAAAAGGAGTAATATTGATAGACCTTCTATAATGAGTTATTAGGAAGGCGTTTTGAAGAAGTTGAAGACATCTCGGCGTGAGAAACTGTACAATCGGAGGTTTTATCATGATAGTGCCTCGGTGCATTCTTCAACAGCTACAAGGGCCCTGTTGCACGAGTTTCGATGAGAAACACTTCCACATCCTCCTCCCTCAGACGTTTTGTTCCCAAAATTGAAGGAACACCTTAAAAGCACCCTATTTACGTCTTTAGATGAAGCGAAAAACCATGCAATTTCATTGTGTGAAAGACAGTCCCCAAAAATTCTATCATCGGGGGGGGGGGGGGGGTTGGATTTACAGGTGGGAATATAGATTGCAAAGGTTTTTAGACAATAATGGAGCCTATTTGGAGAAATGGATGTAGTCACTTGTCATGTAAATTAATTAAGATTTTTTCCGAGAGCGTTTGGGCACATCCTCGTATAATATAAAAAAACAAGAGGAAGATGGGAAGTTTAATCACATTCTTTTCAGCCAATAAATTAACCCCACGCTATGGGACCTAAATAGCGAAGGATTAACAATTAGCTCAGGTCAATAGTCTGTTTTTTTGTTTCACTTTCATGATTACAAACTCAATCATTTACTTTCCTTTTTCTTTTCACTACGGGCTTTGATTTTTTAATTATATTATCTTGAATGTACCTTTCCTGAGGTTATTTATTGCAGGCAATATTTCGATTCTAATTTTACCTAACCTTATTCATATTCCATGTTATTGTTCCTTCATTAATTGATTCCTCTTTTCTCGACATTTTGATTGAAATAAAACCAATAAATCCTCCCTTGGCTAATTCCTTTCGACATTGAAGTCTTGTTACTCTAACATAGACGTAACCTCGATAGCCCCTCCGTGGTTTTAAGAGCTCATATTATTCTTTGTTAGTAGAGATTTAAGCTAATTTGGAGCTCCATCTGCTGTTCAGTTGACATTACTTCAGCTTTTGCTCTGTTTATTCATTGACTTAGCGCAAGCTAATGCCGGAAAGCTGTTTACGTCCTCTTTTAATGCTAATCGCTTGTTTACTTCTTTCTTTGTACAATTTTGTAGAGGTGTCCTACTGTCAATTCTTTCGGGTTTGCTCTATGGACTTGTCTTTGTGCCAATTATCTATGTGCAGGAAAACTACGCCATGTCTAGTAAACGAGGTAAGACTTGTCGTCACAGGTATTTTTATTGATTTATTTTGAGTATTTGTTACTATAATTCCTCGGACCAGGAGGAAGATGACCTGTTGCTCAGTCAATGACACTACTGAGTTTAATTTATGTAACCTCGAATGCCAGTTCATTCTGAATTAAAATGTGTAATGTTCCTGTTGCAAATTGCACCATATGGGGTCTAATAGGTATATGGATTCAAATATGGGAAGGACACTGTCGTCCAATTTCTTGAAAGAAGTACATTGGGATATATGCCCCCCCCCCGCCTCTACTATCAGACTAAAGTAAACTGGCTTGTGGAACCACCTGATGGTGAGAATGTAGACATCCAGCGTTCCGTACTCGGGAACAAAAGTTGATGAAACTTTATTAAAATAAACCTAAATTTTCAAGCCGCATACGCTTTATGAATAAAGTGTCGCCCTAATTAATTTTAGAACGGAGTTCACCAAATCTCCGTATCTTTTTCATTGGAGTGGTGATAGTGATGTTATTTACTTCTACCAAAAGTGTCAACTTGCTCAACTAATAAGCTAATATGCAGTGATCTACCTCTATTTAGTTGCGCAAGTCGTATTTGATTACATAACATGTAATTTCAATTCTTCTATTAGAAAATACTCGATTTTGTGGAATCTATTCTAAATTTATCATTCAAGGAATTTGAGGGAAAGTACGTGTATTAGGGCTAAACACTTGTTAAAATTTGATCAGCAAGCAACAGAAAATCCATTTGCAGCGTATTTAACACTCATTGATTATGTCATTAAGCTGACTTAATTCAGACTTCGGGAAGAATTGAGTAGTAGACATCTGCTCAAACAGCGTTTTTATATATGATACAATTGTTTTTTTATAAATTTATACGTTATATGCGACCGGATTTCTAATTAGCCTGTATTTGCATCAATACCTATCTCTGTGAGTGGTCTAACATATCTCATTTTGAGTATAGGAACCCATTCGTCGTTAATCTATTCCACAATAGATTAATTTTATGAATTTTGTTCAAATGCGTCGATTGAAACCATTTTCTTGGCAGAGGCATAGAAACTGGATTGAGTAATCCCCTTTAAAAAATTAGGTTATCTGGCTTGTATAGTCTTTCAATTGTGTTGCTATCTATAGTATTATGCTTAATATTCCTTAAAGTTATGATGCGATACATTGCTATTTACACGCTGGACTCTGCGATTCAATTGCGAGTTGGAAGTAGAACGAAAATAGATTAGAGTTGTGATGAGGCGTTACTAACCTTGTTGATACTAGAGTATTTGTAAAACGTCATAGGCTGTATCGATCGATTGAGCTGATTAAGTTGAGTTTCTTGTTATCCCAGTGGTGGTGATTTGTGGGTGCAGAGGGACTGAGAATATGAATTATTTTGACTACCAAAAATGCCTCTGTTCCAAAGCCAAAATAGGTGACATTGGAAGTTGTAGATATTTCACTACCCATTATGTAGAGATGGTGCGCATATCTGTCACGAAGTCAAAGGCCGTGAGACCAAACCTATCGTTATGATTAATCTATTTGAAGGCTTAAAACTGACCATTAATACAGGTGTTTGAATATCTCCCCTCTGTATAAAATAAACTTTTGATGGAAGTATAAGTAGCTGTGTTTGGAAATCCTTTTGGAATAGGGTTTTATTTTACTGTTTTCTTTTTTTGTTCTTCACAGGCATTGACTACGCAGCCTCACTCGGTTTGGGAGCATTTTTAGCCTCAACTACCTACCTCGTACTCTACTTCTTGATCCTGCGATTGAAGGACCAAATTACTGCCTTCTTCAGTGGCTCTGAAGAAAGCCCTTCAACTGAACCCAATGTGGGCACAACACCCTTCAATGTACTTTTTCTTCCTGCCATGCTTGCTGGTGCGCTGTGTGCAATTGGACAGGCTTGCTGGCTGGTGGCCAATGAGGCTCTCCAAGCGGCTATCACATTCCCCATCGCGGCGACCCTACCTGGTGCCTTGGCTACTCTACTCGGAACTGTTTTCTACCGAGAGGTTCATGTGAGAATAGCCTTCTTTCATTCTAATAGATATTTTGTTCTCTAAACACGCCAGAGTCTATTTTAATTACCACTAGCAGAGAGGAGTAATGCAAAGTGGTGTCGATTACGCGGCTTATAACACGTATAGCACTTCAGTAAATCAAGGGTTACAATTATTGAGTTATATATGGATAGTTAATTGAGGAATATGATTATAGGGGACTGAATGGGAGCGCCGATTATGGAAAGTTGAATGGAGTCCTACTAAAGGTATATTAACCAATCTCAGATTAAAACATTAATTGAAGTTCCATCTAGTTAAGTTAAAGTACCAAATTAGGACCAATAAATCAACCCAAGCTATTGTTCTCTCCAGTTTTACTTACTTTATTCTCACTAGAGAGGTAAGGGCCATGAACAGTGGTGAATGTTTTTATTCCACCAATGTGAAAACGGGCAATTTAGCTAGGTGATCAGTAATTGGCAAACAGCTTAGGTGCCAGTTACTGACTACTCGGTCGAATCGAAGGATTACAGTGGAACATCATAATACTCTAGTCAGGCAACTGGAAGTAAAATTCCAATCCCATGGGAAAGCTTTGAAGTAAATTGTCTACATAGTTTCTTCTGAATAAACATCCCCGATTAGTTAAACAATCAGGATCTCTTTCTAATTTGATTTTGAGAATCCTTTTTGTGCGAATGTATGTAAACTGGAAATCTGTGTTAGTCGAACAATCGCCTGGTTGGTGATGGTAAAACCAATATTTCATTATTTGAATAACTAAATAAGGAAAAGTCTTACAGGCCCCTTAGTTTCTATTTATTGCGTAATTGGTTTGGAACTTCCAAGTAAAGTAGCTCAATGTTTTACAAACTGGTACTAATGTATGCGAAGTTTTGCACGCATTTGAAATTTGTCAAGAGCAAAAGTTATCTTCATTGATACATTTGTCTATTTTGTTATGATTTATAACCGTTATGCGCACTTTGGAGCCTGATGTACCGTTCGTGGGGTTCACGCTTGAATTAGTGCGTGGAATCTCACTCTTAAAGTTTACAGTGTTTAAAAGTGTAATTGTCTTTTAAAAATTTCTTTGCATAAGGTGACCTTGAAGTCTATCCATTTGAAGGGGTTGGCGAATTACCTAAGCCAAATATGGAAAACGTGAATAGTCTTTGACTTGGATAATGATATTATATCGTAGAGCCACTATTTTGAAAGTCCCAGTTTCCTTGTAATTGGAAATAATCTACTTCGTGGTGCATAACTTAGAGCCTTATGCTGTTGGTACTTTAGAGTGTGAAATAAGATATATGGCTCCATTGATTCGTTGGGAAGACAAGGTATTCCATTACCTAATTGAGCTCTCTTTGCTGTGTTCATTTTTACTGACTAGTTTGATTACACGCATACCCAAATGTGAATATCACGTGACAATGCTTTTCAAATAAATATAAATTGCATGCACTATTACTTAATCTTTAATTCCCCTTGTACTTACGTAATCTCATTTTTCCCTTTTAGGGTACCAGGAATTATATCAAACTTGCTGTAGCTTTGACTTTAACTCTGCTGGGAAGCCTACTGACAGGCCTTTCTAAATGAATTTCAGCTGCCTGTTTTCAGGCTATTTCAAATTCAACGGATCTCCATTTGTGTGTTTGTGTTTTTTATAGACAATGATATCTTCTAGTAAAATTGTTACGACTTTTATCCATATTGGTCTATCATATGTGATTATAACTTCGTTGTTATCTTACCTATATTGTGCCTTTTATCTGCGGCTAGTTCAGTTATTGGCTATCTTGAGTTTCCACCATTCTTAATTATACTTGCAATATAAACAACCTTGTACACTATCAAGATAATCATGTTTTTTATATGGGCATGATTCATTTATGTTATGAACACTTGATATTGGCTTTGGCGCTTCCTTTTGCGATATCCAGGGCCTCAGAAACGGGAGACATGTTATCTTTTTTGAATCATAACGATCTGAGTGTGCTTGCCTGCCCATGTCGTCAAGACCTATATCCTACAACCCAAGCAACTGCTCTAATGTAGTGCACGTTGTCTCTGGAGTTCTGTGGTAATCTCCAACAGGTTATGCTCCTTATCAATTATATTTAAAATATATTCAGACACAAAATGTTTCGAGTCCCATCTCCGCTTCATGATGTCTGTGTATGTAAGCCTGAATTCGAAATCTGCGATAGCCGAAATCAATACCCTTCAGGATATCCCAGAGATCACAAATCGGACATAAAAGGACATCTAGATATTTCAAGCACACTATGTACTGAGGACTTGCCAGGCATTCGCAGAGGGCGAATCTTGCTCCGTATTTGCCATTAAAACGCCATTCCTCGTCAAGACTTCGTGGAATTAGAGTAGGGCAGGCCATAGGACAACCATCTATTTTTGATTGAAATTTATAATAGGCTTTGTCGTAGTACTTCTTTCCGGGAAACTTCCAACAGAAAAAGCACTCAAAACATGCACAAAATAAGCAACATTTCATATCCTTTTCTTGACCTTCTTCAATTTCGGAATCTTCTTCATCGCTTTCTTCATCATCGTAACTATCTTCCGAAGAATATACGTTTGATTTGTTTAAATTTAATAGAGGATCTGGCTGCTCAATGTCCCAATTTAACTCTCTATATAAGTCCTCCTTAAAATTATTATAAAATGTAGAGAAATACTGATGAATGCGCCTTCCGGTTTCTCGCAAGGAATTCATTACGGTTTAATAACTCAACATTTCCTACAATTGCCACGTGAAAATGACGTGCGTTCCATGTTGTTATATTGTGCGTTGAATTTATTGATTAAATCCATCAAGCTACAAAATAATCGGAACTACGTTAATATATTTCATATTAATTACATAAATTGTAAGAAAAGATCATTGATGAAATTGTATTAAATAGCAAAATGATGGGTTGAAAAAGCGGGAGGCGATGTAAGATTTTAAAATATATTATTTTCTTTTGGAAAAATTAGCTGAAAAATACATTCAGAATTAGAAATTTTGGATAAAATTAGTCTTAATGAAAAAATGCTTGATACACTGTTGTAATAAACAATGAATGTTATATGAATGATTGCTATCAGTGATATATGAAAAATTAAGTCTTAAAAATTCCATTTGTGGATTGCATGTGTTTAACAAGCTTGAAGGCTATTTGCCAACTTTAATTCTGTGATGCCTTACGTAACGAGTACTGGTAACTAAAATTAGCTTATTCGTCTTAAGTTTTATTTATTATACTATATTACTCAATGTTATTTTGTCATTTTATTTAGAAAATATATCGTGTTTGTCTCTGTTAAGCCCTAAAGTGGAGCATTGATAGCTTTGTTTTACCTTAGGATATTTCTCTTCTTGAAATAATTTGCATTTATTTTTCTGATATCGGATATTTATATGCCATTAAGACATATGAAACGTCTTTATTAATGTTTTATTGTTCATAACTTTCATATTTCAGGCGAACTGGTAGAGTCAGAGCCATGGAGTCTTAGATACGTAGTACGTGTAATTGGAGAAGCTGTAAACGTCATCTCCTTATTGTAAGTTTTGCATATTTAGACCTACTAATTTTGACTTGTAGCTTTACCTCAATGATGCCTTTTGATGTAAGTTACATTTTTACTAGTCATTAATGCGAAATAAACAGGTGGGTGATTCTAGGAGAAATTCCAATCAAAGGCGTCCATCTGGTCGAAATACCTCGAATGTTGGCAGACCTAGGCGACTTGGTAAATCATTAGACATTTTTTGTCTCTCTTACGCTATTAACTTGTATCGTGACGTCACTTTGATCCTATATACATTACATTGTTTATTCGACAATTTTCAGTACGAAGAGCTCAGATTAACTTTCTTGCTCTTTTTTCTATTTATTTTCTCATATTAATAATTTTAGTTTCAGTTGCTCTCTGTTTACTCAAATTGTTTTACTAACCTAACAACCTGATGGTACTCATGCGAGTGGTTTTGCTTTCCTCGATATATATGGCTCCCGCCTAGAGCTCATAATGCGAATTCAATTCATGTTCTTTGGTGTTGTGGGCTTAAATCGACCAATCACTCACAAATATATAATCACGCCCTTGTGAGATTTTTCTTAATATATACTCTAGCTCATTGCCTGTAATAGGAATGAAGTCTTGTAATCTGCCCTACGACAACTGTTAGTCAGAGGGTTGAACTGCTACCAGTATGGTTAATAATAGCAGATTTTGAAGAGTAAGGGTCTAGTGTGCTGTAGGTAGGGGTTGTCATTGGGGCAATTCATGTGTTTACTGGATGGTTGGGTTAATTAATGTTATTTTTTGCTGTAAAGTGGACATCATTCGTCTTTTTTATATACAGCATTGAAATTGAGGTAGCTATTGGCTCGTTTCTGGGGGAACAAAGAAGTAAAGCGTAATTTTTAGTGGGAAATTTGTGGTACTGCATTGACCTCAGTTTGAATGAATTTACTCGTCTGTATGGTGTTAGTGACTGTATTGTTACTGCATTGGTTGCTTTTATGCTTGTCAAATAACAGTGACTTATATTTATTTTGATTCGGATAAATATTCTAATTAGTCTTGAAAACGTTTCAGTCGCCTTTATAATCCCCAAGAAGAGAGCCGAAAGTTGCTTTCTTTATTTTTTCGTTATTTCTTGATATTAACACATTCCAAGTTGTAAATAAACAGAGGAGATCAAATATATTGATTCTTTGCTGTATATTTTGTGCTATTTATTTTCTAGTAATTAGAGACTAGCCATTTATCCTGTCCTTGCTAATAATTTCTTCTGATGGTTTTAGAATGAATAATCTACCATAAAACTATAAAATGACAAGCTGTTTTGGTCAAGTAAAAGGCGACATTTGGGGAAAAATATTTTGCTATCTTTACCTTTTTCATTTCATTACGCAATGAAGTTGATCGTTTCGGTTCCATTGTTGCGACGCTTAAGATGATTCCTATCAAATTTTCTATTCTTAATTTAAGCTTAATCCGTAAAATTCTTTCTAATTCTGTTTTCGAAACTCTAAAAAGCCTGTTTATCTTCTTTTCTTTAACCTATTTACTTACTATAAATAAGTAGTTACTTTGTTTCCATATTTTAGGTGGTATAGCACCTCCGCCATGTTCTGCCGGTGGATGAGGTTAATACGTTCCGATAGTCGGTAGTTTCAAACAACTACTGGCTGTTGGAACGAAATATGTAGATCAGTGTCCTCTTTTTTGACTCCACTGATGAATGTTTGCGTTTGCTACCACTCCCTTACGTGCCAATATGATGCTGGACTTGGCAAAACTCACATACAGAGTCCCAGGCTGGTCGATGCTGCGCGTGAGAATTCCCGAATGTTAATGAAAATCAAATCTCTTCCCCTTTTAATCCTTTCAACAAACTGATTATCTCTTGACTCTTTATATTTCTTTGTATATACACGTTCAACCACTCGTCTTTGGGGTGCACCTGTATTTCCTTTACTCTCAGCCAACGCAATAAGGTGCTTGCATGTACCTTGACTTTCAAAATCTGATTTCTTTGCATCTGTAAGTTTTACGAAGCTGGGTGTCTTTCAATAATTTAAGCTGTGGTAATGATGGTGTATTACTGTTTTATCTCTTTCCCATCCTCGTATTATGAGGACTTGAGGAATCATGGAAATCCTTACTTTGGCTTAAGTACTGCTGGCGAGGCATGACTTTTCTGGAATTCTCAGGGCCAATAGTTTTATAATTTTTATGGAGCTTTTTATCTGTTCTGCGGGTTTCCAATATGATCGTTATGATTTTCTAAGTAAACTTTCTGGCTGTATTAATTAATTAAGTGTATTCACTTAGCAGGGGGAAAAGTGTTGAACACAAATATGTATCATAATCTTGAGCTTTTTAAAATCTAAGCATGGGAAAGGTGTTTAAAGTAGCTTTATAGCGGAGTAAGTATTAATAGCATGGAGCAATTCTTAAGTGATGCGGAGGTGTGTTATCTTCTCTGATTGGAAAATTTGCACTTAGCGAGTAGATAATTGGTATATAGAGGCACCGAGTGGGTTTCGATGTTCCTTCATTTAACAAGGGGATTATGACGACTTTCCTTGTACATAGATGGTGTAAGGGACATCAACGTTCTTCGTACATATCATTCAATACCAAAATATATAAATTTCTGCTGGAAGAGTTAACGTCTCGATCGACTCGTCAGTAATATTCATGTATCTGTAAAAGGGCAGTTAATGAACTGCTATACCGCTTCACCAGGTATTCTGTTGTCCCTACTTCTCAGTACTCCCCCCAAAATACCTGCCAAATCAGATGGCCTAACCAGTTATCTAGGTCATTATTTTGTTACTCAGATAGGAGAAGCGTTTTACTTCCACATTCCTACGATTTGCGCTAGTAGCACAAGCTAAAATGCTTTGAAGACCATTTGGGATTTACACGTTGAAATGCATGAATTCACATAGTAGAGATTCCTAAATATATAAATAAAAGTTTGACATGCTAAATAGAACTAAAAAAATATTTGAATGGAAAAACTGCACACCACCGATAAAACAACACCCCCTTCAACGCTAACATTAGGGTCCCATTGGTCATTGTGTCGGAGGTCACATATTCTATTCCCATTGGTCTGCACTCAGTGAATGAAATAGGAACCGTACTGCAGCAGATATAGAGAATAGCAGAATTTGAGGTCCCATGATACTTCTCTCCATCGTCGGAAATTGCTTGGCAATCTCATCAATTGCCCCCTTGCCAATATTAATTTAAATAAATATATATATATATATAAAGAAATAAATATAATAATAATTTGAAATATTTTTAAGCGAGGGTGCGCATTGGACCTACCTCCAACTTCAATTTGAGGGGAAAAATATTAAATAAAATGTTAATAGTACCGGGGAAAAAATGCAAACATTACTAAACCTTCATTCTCCCCCCCCCCCCCCCCAACCACATCTCGATAACACTATTGACAATATTGAATCATAGAAGTACTTATCAATTTTTGAAAATTGGAGTAGCTTTTTAATAATATTTCTATCGCACAAGGCAAATTTTGAGGAAATTGATCTGAACGAATTTTATTGAAGAACCTACAATGTTAACTATCTCCAAATATAGTTGATTGATACCATTTTCATTTGTTTATATTCATTCAAACGTAGTTGAATAAACAGAAGAGGTAATTGTATTCGTACAATGATTCAATAAGTAAGATAGATATCAGAAACAGGGTCCTCAGTGGAGCTTTTTCAATAGTTCTCGCTATCAGAGAAATCATATTTGTATTTAGGTTATTTTCGTATTGAATCAATTAGAGCGATATTATCCCATTGGCCTAGCAGTGAAATTGCTAACGATGAAAGTCAAACATTCATTTTTGCTGATAAAATTGGATCTAGCTCAATGTCAGAAGATGAAACAACAAACTGTTAACGGCATAACGACCACTTCATATAAATTGCCTAGGAAATTAGCAATATACATCTTCGATGTGAAAATCCATTGAAAATTTGGGTCGATAAATTTTGCAATTAATGGAATGGCAGTGAACAATAGGTATTAGTTAAATGGTTAAGCAATTAAATGAAAGTTCCAAATGTGGTGAACATCTTTTTATCATGATATGGTTTTGCATTTCTCTCCGACAGCCATAAACTAGTCATCTCTCACTGAACAAAAAACATTTGTTTTGCGTGTTCAGGTGCTTTGCCAACATTAAGGTGGCAAAGGTTTTGCGTTTCCATGAGCAATATTAGTGAATATTCAATTACACATACGGTTTAGAAGCGACACGTATTTCTGAAGGTCAACCGATAATGTCGTATTTCCGTATTGGTAACAATTTATTTATATCAAATGGCAGGCGTTTTGATGGTTATCATTAGCCCTTTAGTTGACTTCAGGCCTCACAGAGGGAAGGTTCATCAAAGCGAAAAAAGCCGATAGCGGGGGGGGGGGGGAGGGAACAGAAGAGTGCTTCAATGACAGAAGTAGAAAAGGTAGAAAAAAAGGTAAGGTGAGTACTGGGAAGTAGTCGAATATGGCAAACAGTCGGGCCATAGTAGTTTGAAGT